AAAAAAAAACAAAAACTTTCCAAGGCATGAGGAGCGTGACACCCCACGCGCCCCCTCGTCGCTACGCCCCTGTCAAGATAGAAGAAGAATATTTATTCTGAACAAGTAAACAGAAAAGCATCTAATAAATATTTCCGAAACACTTCGTTTACTATAAAATGATCCAGTTTTCATTTTTTATCGAGAAAAAGATGACATAGTAAATACGAATATTTTTCTCTATTTAAATAAATCTCTATTTTTACTTTTGATCTTATATAACTTTACTATTTCACAATCCTAATAAAAATCTTGGTCTATCATAAAATATTGGATCATTTTCTATAAATATTCTTCGAAATCTCCCGACTTCAATTGTCAACAGTCCTATACATATATATATTGCCTTCGATATAAAGCAATACTACCTTTGGGGTTCAATCACGTCACGTTAGTTTTATTTCATCAATCAACACAACTAAAATTAACTACTTCTTATCTAGAGTCATCGCTTTTATATCTATATATTCTAGATGCAATCATTGTTTGATTTATTGCAATAGTTACGTATACATATATATATATGTATATGTATGTATATGTATGTAGAGCGAACGAAAAAAAAAGAAGGAGTTTTATTTATTTTAATAGATCTCAAAAATATCGTATCAAATCCATAATAATAACTTCAATCGATTTTTGATTACGAATGACATTTATATATATATTTCAAAATAATAGATCGTTTTTAAATATACTTCTTCGAAATAAAATCGAATTAAAAAAATAAAACGAAATTATAATGATCGATATTTCATTTCTTATTCGAAATTTAATCAACTTTTATCTTATTTCAATTAATATTTTCACACATTTTTATTAAAAGGCAAAAATTTGTCTATACTTACAACTTAAGAAAGCAAATAATGCTGAAAACAATACAGCAGTTACAAAAGTCCTTCTCGACATAAAACCAATAACAGCCGCTAACAGTGAAAGACATCCTAATGATAAACCAAATGGTATAAGTACTTGAGCAACTCGAACAAAACCTTTTAATAAATTAATAAATATATAAAAGAATTTCAAATAAAATTTTACTTGGTGCATCTTTATTCCATAGTAAACAAAGAAAATCATTTGTTTCCGTTGAAAAAGTACATTTATACCAAAGACCAAATTTTTTAAATTCAATTCGAGTATCATCATCCAAATTATTCTCTATCGTCGTAAGATTTTTTGAACTAATACGTTCATGAAACTGTAACCAATCCGGTACTGAAAATGATATCCATCCAAGTACAAGACTAACGATAAGAAGACCAACGCCAACAGCAAGAAATATTCGTGGTGGTATTATACATTGATACATTTTATAAAATAAGAATATGTTGTTTACCTTTAAAATATATTTTTAAAGGATTTTCTTTGAATACGGCAGAGATCTTTCGCGTAATTTCAGTTGACGATAATAACAACAAAAATATTCATAATTATTGAGTGATAAAATGGGGGTAAGCCGCTCCGCATAAACTTCTATGTATAAGTTTCTTATTTATCACTAATTTTAATTCATCGAAGTGTGTAGATGTGACATAGATGAGAACGTCGAGACATACGATTGAATTGTTTGTTCTAATAATTGCTTCACTAACTTTGAATAAATGAGAAAAAAAAATCGAAAAAAAAATATATATCGTATAAAAGAAAGAACGATAGAAATATATTGAACGGTCACACGTAAATGAACAGTAAAGAATTTTTGTTCTTTGTTCTATAGATAGACAAAGAGCGAGAGAGAGAGTTTTGTCTCTTTCTTCTACTCGTCTCATTTTTAAGTATATGTATGTATATGTATGTATATGTATGTATATATGCGTGTATACAGGTGCCTGCATAAATATTTGTCTATGTAAGATGCGCCCCATCGATTATCGCACGCAAAAAAACGTTTATCTTCATTTTTCAACCTCACGTTTATATACATTTGTTGGTCATTGTACCGGGGAGACACTGACCATCGCACAATGAGTTCGTATATACGATGGTCATGCTCAATGAAGCGAAGAAAATTTTTTCTTTTTTGTTCTCACCGCTACCTTCAGTACTCATTCATTTTCTATATGGATAGATGCAATACTATCGTGAATGATGCGCATAAAACTCATGTGGTTTGTACATGTGTGAAATAAAAACCGAGAACTTTTAACGGGAGCTATTGCAATGAGAAATAAAATAGAATGTTTCTAAATACTCACTGTTTATATATATAACTTGACCTTGCAATGATATTGTATATTATGTCATCATTATCGTTTCGATGTTAAAATGACAATGAACATTAAACTTAGAAATGGATATCAGTGATCATAAGATGATATATAACATTTGTTTTATTTTAGTACGATTGAAAGAAACGATCAAGGTTAATGTTTATTTTTACTTTAGAATAATTGTTGTGTGATTAAAATCAAACATTTCTGTTGTCGAAAATATAAATGAGATAAAGTGTAAATGCATTAAATTAACAAGCTTTCATCTTCATGTCGATCGATATGTAAGAGCAAAATAATCAAGTATCATTTCATAGAATACTTTTAAGCAATAATCATAATTTAAATTATTGTTAAAAATTGTACTTCTATTGATGTGAGAAAGCTTTTATGTATTTACACATTATCATGTCTTGTTCAAAGAAAAGTAACGCATTATGAAAGTGTACACAAATTTATTTTCATTTGTCTAGACAATCATGGATTTGAATGATTCAAAGTTCTTTAAATTTGACTGATATATTATCATATTTAAAATAATCAACGAGTGACCTAACGTTTAGAAGTTACGATGAAATCGAAAACATGAGAAAACGATTTGTTTTTTACGGCGCATTCAGACAAAACGTATTTAATTTTTCTCATGTTTCACAGTATAGGTATAATGATAAATTGTAATTTGTCCGAAACAGATATTTACTTGGCAAAATATGCCATTTGCTGTCTTATTTGATTTTCAAAAGACAAATTTTTAATTGGTTTTATTGATGAATGAAATAATGAGAAAGAATTTGTCTAGGATGCTAATAATGATCAATGGATGTGTGAGTTTAACTTATAAAAGTGAAGAAAATGTTTAATAACCATCTGGTGTGAAATAAACGAACGCTACGCTTATTCATTGTCAATATACAAAAGTTTTGATGTATTGCATAAATTGATCTGTACAATGAAACGATTTATAAAACTTTATATGTATCGCAAGCTGCGATCTGTAAAGATTTCATAACTTGACTATTGATCATAAACTTACACAACACTGATGTTTTTGTCAATTATCTATTGATATACTGCACGATGCAAATGTCTTTCGCTTTGATATTTTCGATGTTTTTCAAAGAAAAAAATAAATAAGATACGGTACAATGTGTAGAAGTATTATAAACAATAGTTAATTGTCTTTTTCTCTTCGTATCAATCAGAGCTAGATATCATACTTTTATCGCTTGCATCAAATTATTTTGAACGTTCAAATCAATATTGTCCTATATCTTATATAGAAATCTATCTAGGTCATTGCTGTTTGATAGCTTCTGATTTTCAATATGATATTTAAAATATTCAATCGTTTCAGGTATTTTATTCCGTAGGAACTACTTCATCACTCAATTTCAATATTTGAGATTATTATCTTGTTGCAAGTACGAATATCGATCGGTTTCGTAATTTAACCTTCTCAGTACCATCGCTCACCCAATGGATGAAATTTTGTTGAGACTTTACATTTAACATGTGTATCGTGTATTGTAAATATTTTCATTGAAATTTTTTAAAAAATCATCGAAGTCATTTTCGATCCTTTACTGATTATTTCACCCTATTCAAGTACTGAAGA